TATAAGAATTATTTTTATCTAGACATTGCAATATTTTCATATATAATTGAAGATAATATTTTTGGTTCAACATAACTGAGAGAGATTCATTACTAATAACAGATTGAGAAGGATCTTGATCAAAAGGAGGAAAATACAGAACAGAAATTCAAATTCTCAAGGACTTAAAACTTTCTGGAGCCTAAGGAAAGGAGCTCTGGTGGTACAGTGGTTAAAGCATTTTGCTGCTAACCAAAAGGTGTGTGGGGGGTAGGTTTGAACCCACCAGCTACTCCGCAGAATAGATAAGGGGCAGTCTGCTTACATAAAGATTTACAGCTTTGGAAATCCTATGGGGAAGTTCTGCTCTGCTCTTTAGGGTAGCTATGAGTCAGAATTGACTAAATGGCAGTTGGGTTGGGAGCCAAGGGGACTGGATGAACCTCTGAAACGACTGCCCTGAGATAATCTTTAAACTTAAACAAAAATATTTCCTGATGTCTTCTTAAAAACAAACAATAGTTTAGCTTACAGAGTGTTATTATTATTATTTTTTAACAACTGTCTATGGGATCAAAGTAACAACAGCAACTCAAAAAATTAGATGGGAACCTTTGGGGGTAGTGAGATTATATTAATGGAGGAGGCACAATTCAGAAAAGGAGGAGAAGAATGGTTGCATAACTCAGAAAATCCAATCAGTGTCACTGAATTGTACATGAAGAAACTGTTGTGCATATTCTCAACAAAAGAAAAATAAAATAAAATATAAAAAATTGGAAAGTCCAAAGACAGATTCATTTTGTTCCCCACCATATCCCTGACACAGAGAAGCATTCAATAAATAGTTATTGAAAAAACATTAGTAAATTATAGGATTCTGAGTTATAGTATGATTTTTTCCTAAGATAATATTTTTGGGGAAAAGATGGACACTGAAAAAGATTAAGGTTTCATTTGTAACTAAATAAGTGGTGCAGATAAAAATACTTGAAGAATCAAAGCATTTATTAGGTATTATTTTTAAGAGTATATGTCAGATATCAAAATAATTTTGCACATGTAGAAATAGTTGAATTGGTGCAGGTTGTAGTATAACAGCAATAGCAAAAGAAAAAATTAAAGGATTACAAAAAATAATTGCCTCTCTATATTTTCATTTTCTTCAAGTCAAAAATACTTGGGATGACTGGCAGAAACACTTAATGTGTTGCATTTAAATGAAAAGCCAGCTGATTTATTTATTTATTTAAATCTGATCTTTATTCCTTGAAATGGCAGGTGAGAGTTACAACTAGACTTGAGTTCTCCATCTACCAAGAAAGCGTGTGAAATGAGAATGCCCTTAGGTGTCCTAATAATGTTCTAGGGGTTGCTTGTACGAGAGTATTGTCTTTTTAAGGTAAAAAAAAAAAAAAGAAAGAAACATTATTACAAATGTGTCCACTTCCACTTTGTAGGGTAAATCTTTTTTATATGATTGTGACTTAAAAAATACCTTGAGTACAGTTTACACATTTATTTAAAAAATATATCATCTAACTGTAAATGCATATGGTTTCCATTTGACCACTAAGAGATTTAGAGTATATCATCAGTAGCTTAGTGTTTGAAGATACAGAAATGATAAATTTCCCCTTATTATATAAAAAATGCTCTGGTGGTGTAGTGGTTAAGGCATTTGGCTGCTAACCAAAAGGTCAGTAATTCAAACCCACCAGCTGCTCAGCCAAAGAATGATGGGGCAGTTTGGTTTCGTAAAGATTTACAGCCTTGGAAACCCAGTGGGGTCACTATGAGTTGGAATCAACTCGATGGCAGTGAGTTTATTATATCAAAGTAGAAAAGTTTAAAATGTCACTTTTCTTAATTTTTTTTTCTGTTGAAGCATAAAGTAGCACTACTACTTGGGTTTATGGAATACAGTCACTTTTCAGGCACATTCAATAAGCCCACACATGTGCAAACCTCTCAAACTTTCTACGATAAGGCTTATCTAAAAACCTCTGCAAAAGTTCATTATCTTACAATATTTTTAATTCTTTTGTGATGAGGCCCATTTAAAAATACCTCCTTAGGTAACTTATTAAATGATTTCATGGGTACTCTACAGTAGAGTTCATATGTGGCATAATTTTAAAGAATCTCCAAAGTCACTTGTAAATTTTATTTCTATTTCTTCAAATTCCATTCATGTCTAGCTCTAGTCCTTCATGCCCTGTTATGCTATTATTCCACATTAAATTTATAGAGTTATCCCGTTAAATTTGAAATGAGCAATCAAAGATATTGTTCATGGTGTCAAAGAGGAGGGATGACTGAAAGTGAAGCCAGAATGATATTCCAAAATGTCCTATGTGCTCCGCTACTCACCCCATGCTTATTTTACTATATTTCTTGATTTAATAGATCATAAACCTGTTCATTTTATTTATGCCAGGATCTGACATCAGTCACTCATATATTTTTATTATGAGAGAGATAAGGTATCCAGGCTCTGTTCTACCTTTAGCGGTGATGAGATCATCTAGCTAATGTAAAAAGCAGCAGTGGCACTGTTCCGGCCAAGACTGGTAACTGTCCACCTGTATCCATTCTCTCTTTCCTCATTGAGTGAAAGATCTACTCATAGTTGTAGTAGGGCACATGATCACTTAGCACTTAGTGACTATAGTTTGTTATGGCGTGGCAATGTAATCAAGTTCTGGCTAATAGAACATGAATGGAAATGATGCATGGAAATTTCATACTAATTACTTAAGAGAAAGCTGGCTGTCTTCTACTTCCTTTTCCTTTCTTTTTGCGTGCGCATGCACGTGCGTGTGTGTGTTTGTGTGTGTGTTTGTGTGTGTGTGTATGACCTGGGATAAAGGATACAATTAAAATCTACCAACTTTGTATAATCTAGGTAGCTGCTTTAAATTAAAATAACTGAGATAAATATCTTGTTAATACAAGCAAACATTTGTTAATTAAAACATATGGGGGAGTGGGGTACCATAATTTTTTTGGTAAAGAGCTCAATTCCTTGGCAAAGGTGGAGGCAAAAACACACAATTAATATCAATTATTGTATTTATATGAACACACTATCAAGCAAGATAGGAATGAATCAACTGTTTTAAAAAAGGGGGGGGATGAGTGCTTTGACCTTACATTCCAGGAAGGAATAAATGTCTGATTAACTATCAGAGGAAAGGTAGGGATTTCCTAGTTGAGGATTAAAGGAAGCCCCCTGCCCTTTGCTGATGTAAACAATAGCAGCTGTGAAAATCCCTTGAGAGTGTTTTTTTTTTTTTTTTTTCTTGGTGAGGAGAGGTCATAGCATATGCATTCTCCTCACCTTGCAAGTCTTGTCCAGCCCTAATGTACACAGTCTCCTTTTCCTCGCCTCTTTATGGTCGTAGTGTCCATCTGGGCAGTCAGATCCTGGGCACACACACAGAGCTTGATCCAGGGACAGTCTTTCTGAATAATACTGTGTGTATTCTTTTAAGAACTTATTCATAACCTACCTAATTCTAAACAATCCTTAATAAGAAGACTCTTTTTAAGGCTTACCATTGGTTTTATGATGATCCTGAAATAAGGAGGTAAACTAATGATTAATTTTTGAGGAAGGGGAAAATGAAGCAAAACAATATTTTCTATTTATATTAATGTTGCACAGTAATACCTCCTTATATAATCATATTGCAATATGTTCTCACGTATGTTGAAAATAACGTTCAAAGATATGTTTTACCTTTCCCCAGGCAACTTCAGAATCCAAATTACTAGGCATCCCTTCAACTGCTGATCTCTTTGTCAAATCCATATCCGTAGCTGCCAGCCATTCTGTCAAGGCATTCATTTCCTTTCGCATCTTCCGGGACAATTTCAAGCATTTTTCCAACTGTTGCTTTCTTTCTGTTACCTGAAAGAAAGATAATAAAATGAGTTTTCTTTTTCAATTCTATTTTATAGCCATGTAACTGGAACTTTCATACCTCTGTCATTTTAAAATAACCTTTTTGTTACAAGCTTGGTTTTTCCAATTCATATTTTAGAGAAATCATATAGTCTGAATATTAATAGTAAATAAAAATGGTCTAGGGAAAATGAGATGAGATCCCTTCTCCAAAGGATAGTGTATTATGTCTGCTGGCATAATAGAAAGGAAATCTATAAGAACTTATCTCTATAGCAAATAAAAAATAATTTATGACCCAAATTTATAATAAGTAGAATGTTAAAAGTCTAAATGTAGATATGTTCCGTCACTCTTAGACATTTGTCATGCCTTTGTCAAAGAGATGAGCAAAAATATGGGCTTGCTCTATGACTCAAAATGGAGGAAAAACACAATTTATCAAAAAAGGAATAGAAGTTTGCATACTACTTATAATAGCAACTTCATTCTCATTGAATCCTACTTTGCTACCTACCCCCCCAAAAAATGTGTTTTATTTTTCACGAAAGTAACCCAAATGACAGCATAGCTCCTATTTTTTGCCATCTCATAGGGGCTAAAACATGAATTCAAAAACAACTTTCACTCTCAATAATAGAGGGAACCATAACTTGATCCTGCGTCCAGTTCTCCTTGTTTATAACCAATTCTCACAATTAAATTCTTCCTCATTCTCAAAAAAGGAATGAACAAATTGAAATTTTCTTACCAGTTTTCTAGATATGCCTACATTTGGTAAGTGTTTAGGTTAGATGGTTTAATAAACAGACAGGATCCCTCTCCTAAGCAGTAGTCAGATAAATTAGCATCAGCAAAAGCCAGCCAAATTCTATCAGTTCCTCGAATGTAAGTTTCATTGTCTCAAACATTTTTGGATTACTCAGCTATGCTCATCATAGTCCCTTGAACAGAGAAGCTTTTTACTATGTATGTTTTGTATGTTGACTAAAGGAATCAGCAAAAATAAGTTCCATTTATTGTGACCAGCCAGAAAATCTGACTGTAAAAAATGAAATATTTTAAATTAGTTCATGTTTGTTCTTGTGTTTGCTTGTTATATGTCTTAACTTGATGAAAATCCCCCTTTTCTGTCATGGAGTCTGGGGACCAAAGCATTATTAGGATCTTGGCCAGGACACCTCTTTATCCTCAGTTTATTCATCCATTAAGTGGGATTGTTCTGCCTATCACATAGGGCTATTGTGAGGGTAAAGTCAGTCAGACAATTTGAAAAAGTCCAAGACATTATTGCACCTGAACCCCTTCCTTCCTTTCCATCATTCTACTTCAGGGTGGTTCACTAAAAAACTGGGATTCGATGTACAAAGCAAAAACTTTATTTGAATTTCTTTTACAGGTAAAATAAAATCTCAAAAACATGGTTTTTACTGCTAAGAAGTATGAAAGGTAGAATCTAGGTTAATCTCAACTTTCAGGGAATGGATTAAAAGGGGAAAAAAATGCTAGTGCATATGTGTGACACATACCCTGGGCATAACAGGTAGCAGTGATAAATGTAATTCTACAACCAAAATAAGAATCCAGCCTTA